AGATAGATAGATACCCACAGTAAAAGGATGAAACATATCCAAGACAATGCATTCAAGCAACCAAAATAGATTATCAAACCAATTTCCCATACTTACATCCCTAGCTACAAAGAAAACTGCCTGCTTAAATGGATGGTGTTCATGCAGTTCCTTACTTAAACACAGCATCTAAAGCAATGTGTGCATTGACTTTGAACTAATTCTAAATAATTGGGCAGATAACATTTTCAAGAAAACAAGGAGAGCCTGAATAGTGTGTTGGGTTCTCTTCCACATCAAAGCAATAGTTGGCATATTTCTATCAAGTTCAGCAGCTTGAGTGCTCTAGAAGATCATCTCTCAAGACCTCTGCAAAAGTGTCCTTCCAGTCAGCTCATAAAGAAGCAGAAACTCATTAACAACTGTGTCAAGTGACAGACAACTGCATTGTTTTCAAGACATGTTTCAAGGTGATGTACCACCTCACTTCAAACTGAGCTGAAGAGAAGCAGAAACTTTTTGACTTTAGAATAAAATTTAGTCAAAATATTCCAATCAAAATCTTCCTACACAGGATTCCTATGTTATAAAAAGTAGTTTTTAAAAGTGAATCTCAGATCATAGTGATTGCTTCTAATGCTATCATGTGAAAGCTGTAAGCAATCTTTCTCAGCTAAAGAATCAGAGAATCCCAACAAAATTCATTACTATGTCAGTTATCTCTACTTTAGAGACAAATGCTAAGAAGTGTATTTTGTGAGCTGTTTTGTGAGCTGACCAGAGTTGTGGTACATAAGATGGGTGGTTATATAAGTATTTTTAATAAATAAAATAAAATAAATCTTTCAAAAATTATGTGGGCACTAAGAAGAGAACATTTCTTACTTAGTCTTAGGTAATCCTCCAGTAAGAAATTCCATTTTCTGGTCTTCATATCTGCAAGGATCATAGTAAAGAATCTGGCTTCAGGCTTCAAAGCAGTAAAATGAAACAAAAACCATGAGAAATAACCAGACTTCAAAAATAGTATCACAAATGCAAACTTAAACTAGAATTTTCATATGGTTTAATTCATTCTTGTAGCTTTCTTAAGTATCAGAAGCAAAGACTAAATCAAGATACAGTAACCACAGCTGCACTGCTCAAGTTCAGATCACAGCTATCTCACCATAAATCCTGGAATTCACTTGCTTGAACACTCCTACGATGCTGGCAGCATAGCCAATATCTACTTCAAACCGAGAATAGGAAATCAGAACGCAGCTTCCTGTGAGGGTTGCTGATGGTTTCTGCCAGCTGGTACATGTCTGCAAGAGGGATCTCAGCTGAGAACCTTGACCAGCAGAAGATGACTCTCCACTCCCAGTCATTTTCTCCATTCCTTCCAGGGATGTCAAAGAGACGGAGGGAAATTGCTCTACTCTTTCCACTGGGGGATAAAACACAGATTTTAAAGAAGAAGAAGAAAAAGAAAGACAAAACAGATACTCAGAATAAAATCATCAACTCCCAGGAAGAATGGAAAAGACTCAAAGAAACATGAGAGACTTTCAAAGGTGGAAGAAAAGCAGAAGAGGACTGACATTACTACCAGTGCCCACCACTGCCCACTGAGGAAGCTAAGAAAATGTATCAAAATCAATTACTCCCCTCTGAATTCAACCTTGTTTTATGATTTGAATAGCACTTAAAAATATACCTTTACAGCTAGTTGAAACTTTCCAATATTGCAGAGTTGCCACTTTGAAACATTAAGTTATAACCTCTGGGATTGTGTTTGGGTTTGTTTTTTGGTTTTTGTACAAGCCTGGTAAATTTCCAACTGGTTAAACAAAACTGTTGAAGTCATTTTAAACTATTCATTTTTCAAAACACTGGTTCTGTTTCTTTGAACAGTTCAATATAACTCATTTACGAATAAAAGTATTTGTATGTGTCCTTGAATAAATAAATTTCTGAATATAAACTATTTGCTCCACTAAGTAAACAAATAGTGTTAATCATCTCGTAGGCTTTCCAAAACGACATTTCTCTGCTGAACTCTTCCGAACCTGGAAGATTTCCAAACAGAATTCCAACTGACTAATTACTTACTGAGATGGCCATAGTCTTCAAGACTGAAATTCCATATCCTTGTTTCTGGATCTGAAATAAAAGAAAGTTTTAAAAAATAATTTGAAGTCAGGAATATTCCATTAGAATATTTAAAATGGCTAAAAACACATCAAGAAGGTTAGTTTGGGGTACTAGTGGGGATACCAGGCTAGATACTGGAAGACTGCACGTTCTTGTCCCACCTTAGACATGAAACCACTGGGTGACCTTATGCCAGTCACTCTCTCTGTGCCCTAGGAAGTAGGCAAGGACAAACCACTTATAACATCCTGGCAAGAAAGCTGCAGAAACTTGTCCACGTAGTCGCCAGGAGTGAATACTGACTCAAATAAACAATAAAAATAAGACCACTGGCATAAGAAATCCTTGTATCAAGATAACTTATCTAATTTATACAGAATTTACAGGGAATATAGATCAACCCTGTAGAGTTGCACAGAGCCAGAGACTAATTATTATAATTTATGAGATCCCTGTAAAGAGATTATTTTAATAAATGCAGAGGGTCCTTTGCACACGAGTTCACAATTGGCGTGCCAAGGCACAGAAAGTCATGCATTTTTGGCATATCAAATATATATAAGACCAAATACCGTGTTTCCCCGAAAATAAGACCCAACCAGAAAATAAGCCCTAGCATGATTTTTCAGAACGCTCGTAATATAAGCCGCATCCCAAAAATAAACTTGTTAAGATCGTCAGCTAGACGGACGCATTTAGTACCGTATTGCCCCAAAAATAAGACCTAACTGGAAAATAAACCCTAATGAACCTTTTGGAGCAAAAATGAATATAAGACCGGGTCTTATTTTCAGGGAAACACAGTATAAGACTGTAATGATAAATAAGGTCTCTTGTATATGAGATCTTATTTTATTAAATGTTATTATATATGACCCTTTAGTTGTAGTTAAGTTGAATAAAAAAAAATAATTTCACATAGAACTCATCATAAAAATATCAGATATAATAGTGTCTTACACCTTATTTTCAGAGGGGATATACACGCTAGAAAATGACATGTATTATCATACGAACAGTCTAATTTTATGAGTAGAAGTGCCATTTAGAAAAGACCCCTGTACTTTGAGCAAAAATACACACGTATCTCCTTAGTGGAGATGTAAATGAACCATCATTATGCCAGCTCTATTTGCTGTCAAAGTGCTACTTCTTGATGGGCTTTCCCCAGGCCTCTGCACTCCAATCCATATTTCTTTGTTAACGAAGTTTCCTATTATACCAGAAATATGATTCTAATTTTTCCTTCTTTTACAGATACCAAGAATGGTAAACAGTACAGATCTTTTTCTTTTCAAAAAGCTAGAGATGCCCCAAGCCCTGATTATTATAAATAAACATCATGAGTCCATGTAGATTTTTTTTTTTTTTGGCAACAGTACAGAAGTTATTTGCCATCACTTCTTCTGAGATGTTTTTTGATTTTCTAGTCCAGCCTACAGTTTTGCTTTCCTACCCAGGAAGGAGTCAGCAAGAATAAGAAATAAGATGTGTATAGATATACATTTAGATTAATAAATAGAAAGTTTGTGCAATAAAACTAATAGCAATGACATTACTAATAAAATAGGCATTTTGAAATGGGAGAGTCACAGATGTTGGGCATCAATCCAATTAAGGAATCAGAAATACGAGTAGAGTAGAGTAGAGTAGAGTAGAGTAGAGTAGAGTAGAGTAGAGTAGAGTAGAGTAGAGTAGAGTAGAGTAGAGTAGAGTAGAGTAGAGTAGAGTAGAGTAGAATAGAATGAACCTTATAGATCATCTAGTCCAATCCCCTGCTTAAGCAGGAGAATCTATACCATTTCTGACAGATGGCTGTCCAGTCTCTTCTTGAAAGCTTCCAGTGATTAAGCATCCACAACATTTGAAGGCAAACTGTTTCATTGGTTGATTGTTCTCACTGTCAGAAGATTTCTCTTTATTTCTAGGTTGACTCTCTTCCTGATCAGTTTCCATCCATTGTTCCTTGTCTGGTGCTTTGGAAAATAGGTTGACACCCCCCCCCTCCTCCCTGTGACAGCCCTTCAAACATTGGATCACTGCTATCATGTCTCTCCTGGTCCTTCTCTTCCCTAGACTAGCCATGCCCAGTTCCTGCAACCATTCTTCATATGTTTTAGCCTCCAGCGCCCTAATCGTCTTTGTTGTTCTTCTCTGCACTTTTTCTAAAGTCTCAACATCTTTTTTATAGTGTGGTGACCAAAACTGGATGCAGTATTCTAGGTGTGATCTTACTAAGGCTTTATAGAGTGGTATTAGTACCTCACGCTATCTTGGTTGAATCCCTGTTAATGCAGTTTAGGATTGCATTGGCTTTTTTGGCTGTTGCCGCACACTGCTGGCTCATATTTAATTGTCTACTAAGACTCCAAGATCCCTCTCACAGTTACTGCTTTAATCTAGCATTGAACTGAACTTAAGAGTTTATCACATTCAACATTTTAAGCTGATGGGTACTGCTTCTTCATCATTGCGGTATAGTGCTCTCATTTACCCACTGTACAGATCACGTAAATATTCTCAGCAAAACAATTGCACAGATATGATTATCCAACTATTGTATACTGTACTTACAATTTGTTTAGTGACAAGTTACAACTGAAAAAAATGACTTATGACCGTTTTTCACACTTAAGATTGTTGCAGCACCTATAGTCACGTGATCAAAATTTGGATACTTGGCAACTAGCATGTATTTATGATGATTGCAGTGTCCCTGGATCATGTGATCCCTTTTTGCAACCTTCTGACAAGCAAAGTCAATGGGGAAGCCAGTTTCACTTAACAACAGTGTTACTAACTTAACAACTTCAGGGATTCACTTAATAACTGTGACATGAAAGGTTGTAAAATGGGGCAAAACTCACTTAACAACTGCCTTGCTTAGAAACAGAAATTTTGGGCTCAATTGTGGTCATAAGTCAAGGACTACCTGTATGTGGGAAAGGAAGATACATCAAGAAGGGATATAATTACATATGTAATTAAATAGGTAACTCTGCTGCTTTTTTTATAGCCTACTAAACTTAAAAATGCAACATGCTTCCAAGATTAAACAATTTAAAAACAGATTCAATTTTATATTTAGAAGAATGTCAGGAACAGACCCTGAGAGGGATGTCCTGGAGGGACACTGGGGAAGGAGGACAGTAGAGTCTGTTTTTTGCGCCTTTAAAGTTATATAAGCTCTAAAACAATGTCACCCACAACGCCCCATTTTTGGAACTTTTTCAACATAGGTAGCAATAACAATAGCACTTAGGCTTATATACCGCTTCACAGTGCTTTATAGCCCTCTCTAAGCGGTTTACAGAGTCAGCATAATGCCCCCAATAATCTGGGTCCTCATTTTACTGATCTTGTAAGGATGGAAGGCTGAGTCAACCTTCAGCCAGTCAGGATTAGCCTGCAATACTGCATTCTAACCACTGCGCCGCCACAGCCAAAATCAAGGTAAAAACTTGATTTGTTTTTTTTTAAAAAAAGGTAAAACCTAAAGATAAAGCTATTTCTGCATGATTTACAATATTTAGCATAATCCCAATTAGAAAGGTCTCTAAAAACACAGTGAGTTCAACAATAAGAGCTATACTTACCATATTTTTTGCTTGGTAAGCTTCTAAATATCTCAATGAGCTCTGTGTTGTATCCAATCTCAACTCTGAATCTGCCTTCAGAATGTTTTACACATTTTCCTTTGAGAATTTTGTGATTTTTCGATACAGACGTCTCAGGAACATTGCCTGAAACCCTAGAAATAGTTGAATTTTGTTCTCTTCCCCCCTTTACAGGAGCCAAAAGGGGTTTTGTACCATAAAATTGCAATGCACTACTCCCTTCCTTCTTGGTGGAGTCTAGATTTCTGGTACCTGCCTGCATTTGACAATCCTTTGCAGCAGTTCCACCTGCATCCAGCAACGTTGCCTGTCTAAGAAGACCCCGCTTGCCGACAGATTTGCTCTGCATCTGTACATTCTTAGCAGTGTCTGAGTTCATATTAGCATCCAAGATAGTCTGATACTGTCCTCCAATATTCTGGCCCGTTGCACCGCATATAGGTGGCTGCAATGTATCAGAATTCTGTTGGATTAGCTGACCTTGTCTGCAGGAACTCTCAGGAGAATAGCAATGAGAATTACTCAAAGAGCCTTGCACTGCTGACGAGGGCTTCTTAGTGCTAGCCAACTGTCTGTATACATTTGGGCTAGAGTCCACTGATTCATCTTTTTGTTGGCCTCCATACAAAATAGTTGCCTGTTGATTTGAACTACAGTGATCAGAACGGATCTGAGGACTTTTCTGCACCAAATAGGTGCCAGGGCCCTGGAGGGGATGGTTACCAAGGACGGGGTGATAGCTTTGCTTCTTCAAAGGCTGCTGCAGGTTTCCTTGACAGCTATCAGGATTCTGCATGTCAGAGTGCTTCATAGCAACACCGCCCTGCTGAGCTGCCAGTCGCTCTGCTCTCCTTGCCAAAGCCTTTTGCCTGTTCTCCTCAATCTTCCTGTTCTGCTCTTCAGTAAGCCCAGGTGACATTTTCTGTGGGTGCTTACCAAAAGACGCCAGAACTGGAGATGAAACTACAATAAAAATCAGCTCTTTTAACAGATTAGAGAAACCTCAACTAATCATAGATGTTTATAGCATCTATTAAGTGATTCATTGCAGAACAAAATGAAATCAACCTTTTTGAAGCAAATAGCACACTTCATTAATAGAAAATGTAGGTGGGCAATGCAGCTAGCCTCATCTTTAAAGAAGTAGCCTCTCCTGTTGATTAGAAAAGAGAGAAGATACCTCTTCCAAGATGGTGCTTCATACATTTCTTTTCCATTTATTTATTCATTCGTTCGTTCTTTCAACTATCTTGCAAAAATGTATGAAATGAAACCGAAAACAAACAAAAAGACATTGAAACTGTAAAATAGATACAACTAAATAGAAAGAGGAAAAAATACTGTATTTTAACTGAATCCAACATTTTTTTTTCTTTTTACGACCCTGACATCTGTTAATTTGGTGTAGATTTGGGGTGACTGAATGCAACTGAACCTTTACTGGCCAGATGCCCTTCCTGATGCCTATGTGGAGTTCGCAACAGATATTTTCTCTTTGCGCCCTAAGAGAGAAACATGTGCTGCTACCTAGGATTGAACTCTCAACCTTCCAAATGGGAAGCGAGTGTCACTACTAGGTCACCACACCCATCACAACTGAATCTAGCAATAAAAACATTAAAATGTCAGTCCTATAATTTATGAAGGGCATTTCAGTGAGTCTAGGATATTTTAAGTCTCTCCCTCCAAAGATAGAGGGAGGCCTCAATTCTAGAAAAGGAATGGCAGTCCCACTAGCTAGATCAGACCAAAAAATCTACCCTGCATGAAAGCTAAGATTACTTTTATTAAGACTGGCTACAATAACCAAATCTTGCATGTCAGATTGTGCTGTATCTTCTCCCCCTTCACTCTAGTGAATCTCCACTGCTGGCAACAGGAAGGAACTATTCACCAGATAAAATAAGCCACAATATGGCTTGTTGTAATGCCCCTTACATTTATAACTGAGATAGATAAATTTGGATAAAAGGTACAAACATTGTTTTCAAATATGGAATTAAGAAAAAAAAACTGACCCCAAATCCAAAGGAGGCAAGTTTGCTACAACTGATCTACATATTCTGTTAAGAATCTCAATTGTGTTTCAAAGATTGAACATTTATAGGAATATTAGCACTTTACTGAAAACTTTATCAGAGTGTAAAGAAATCCAGGATTCATAATATATGGAAATCCCCCAATAATCTCCCCAGTTTAAAAAGTTTCATTGTTAACAATTCTATATCAATTTATTTTATAATATAATTTTTTAAAATAAACTGATGTCAAGTCAGGTTGATTTTCCTTTGATAAGCCATATGAATTATCCTTTAAAAAAAAAAGTACATGACACTGCCAATGTAACATACTTTCTTATAGAATACCAGTAAGAATGTGATAACAAAACCTACTCTACATCACACATCTGGCAATGGACAAACAAATTCCATACATCTATCAGAGAGGAGAGGAGAGGAGAGGAGAGGAGAGAGGAAGAGTACTTCCACAGTTTAATAAATCAAAGCAGTAGTTTTCTTAACTACACATCTGACCTAAAAGGAAGGTAAGATAAAATGCTAAACAACAATCTAACTCATTCCACAGGGTTATGGTTATGGAGAAAATAGGAGAAAGAAATATTAGGTATTTTTGCTGCCTTAAATCATTTATAAAAATAATAAAGGCAGGATAAAAATTAAATAGCTTTAAAAGAAAACTTTTCTAAACGATATACTGTTGATATGTGATAGTGGTTAAACTGCCAAACATGTATAAAGGAATATTAAAACAGCATTGGAAGTGTGAAAAGGAAGAGGGAACTTTTATCATGCATGGTGAACTTGTGAAAAAGCAAAGAAAATTTGGGTGCAAATTCATGCAACGATACAAAAAATATTATGGATTTTTATTGGATTTTATGGCCAATAAACTAGAAAATAAATATGGGAAACTAATATTGTATATGAAAACTGTGGCAAGATTATTGCATGCATAAAGATGGAAGAACAATGAAATACCCACAGTACACAATTGGATTATAAAAATGATAGAGCTTGTGGAAATGGCAAAGCTGACCAGTTTGGTCAGAGAAAAAAAAAGATAAAGACTTTCTTAAAAGACTGGAAGTTTTACTCAGACTTTTTGTTGAAAGAAGAAAAGACTGAATTCATCAGTTATGGATTTGAACTAAATGGAAATCAAATGCAAAACACTGAAAGTCAGCACTGACACTCCAGACTGAAGCAAAGACTGATGTAGAAAGGGTTTTACATTGTAATTCAACTTCTGATAGTGCTCCCCCACCCCAAAAGAAGAAAGAGGGGGGGGGAACAAGCCACAAAATTCTGAAATATTTGTAAACATTAAAAATGTACCTTATGACAATCTTAAAAGGCTGGCACAAGTGAGCAGTTCTTCAGTCAATTTAAAGCGATCTGAGTAAGCTCAGCCTTTCTTGAAATAGTGCATCTTTATTTTTTTTCTGCAGTGTCACCCTGCAAGCCAACAAACCAGAATAAATTTTGAAACAAGACTTACAATACCAACATGCCAAAGGGAAGAGCAGCCTATGAGCCTTATTGTTGCAAGCAATTTTCTTCTTTCAAGCCACTTTGAAGTGACAATGGATTTTGCTTGGTTTTGGCTGGCTACCACTGTGGCGTTATGGGTTGTGCACAAATCATGGTTTATTCTACAGATCTTAATTAAAGAGCCACTGTTTAGCTCAATACGCAAATATATCATCCTTGCTTAGTTTAAGTGAAAGCTCTTTATTTTCAGGGTTACATCCATCCAAGCGCAGTGGTTCACGAAAAAGTGCAATCCGATTGCACCCAAAAAGACATTATCCTGACCACCCAAACAAAGGCAAAACGACTTCAGACTCTAAAAATAAACTTTTACGGGTTTACTCCGGACTTTGCTTGGGTCCCGTTAACATTATCTAAAGCATTGACCCTGATTCCCCCCACCCCACTCACCCACCCACCCTTTTAAGCAATTAAGCAACATCCAGCTGCTACATCACACCAGCAAGGAGAAGCTGCGCTGCCCGAAAAATATCCGGCAACTCTTCATGGACCCATCTCTTCCGGGGGGAGGGAGCTTACAAACCTCCTACCAGCCGTTGACTACAATTCCCAAAAGAACTTCACAAATCTCCAACCCTCTCGCGGAGACGTCCATTAAGGAAAGCGTCACGGAGAGAGAAACAGCCTCAATGCATCATGGGAAATGAAGTTTTGGTTTCAACTCAGACGCTACGATGAGCCACGTCCTGATAAAGTTTACGGACCGAGCAAGGAAAGGAAGGGATTGTTATATGTAGGGGAAATCAAGTCAGGACTAAAGTTAAAGGTGGTTGCTGAAAAGTCGCGATATCTGAGGTTCTTAATCTACACCACGTTCGTGGAATAAAACGGTTTTCCATTTATTTTGCTTTATACAACCTTTATTCAATTACAAGGAATAGGGCAAATAATTTGTAAAATATAGTATGGATTGTAGAGGTGGGGAATACTCAGAGAAAAATTCTTGATTTGAGCACTTACCCTTCTCCTAAACATTTGTTTTTGCATTGTGTTTTATTTTGTGAAAAATGTCTATCACCTTTTGCAATGAACAAGGCAGTAATTATAAAAGTTATTTTTTTATAAGTGAAGGAACTAAGAGATGCAAGCTTCCATTTAGTGATCTAATTCTTCACATTTCAACTTAAAAAGCTTCACTTAAAATGCTCATTCTGCACTGTCAGCAAGGCTATATATAATGGGAATTCATGTGTTTGAATTATCCTGCACAGGAGACATAAAATAGTAAATCTGTAGTATATATATTTTATGAATGCATTTTATCCATAGAATGATGGGTTTTCTCCCATCAAATCAGGGAGAAAACTCAGAGTTTATATGTGACATACCAGTAGCAAGGATGTCTCTTTTTATTTGCAGAGAATTACTGTACTATATGAAATTACAACATTCAACCAAGTGAACTCACACAAATGTTCAGGAAACAGTTATGTTTCAACAAATTCTCAAATTTTGTTATACATGTGTACCACAATGTACCACAATTATTTTCATTTAGGACAATTTGTATTTAAAATATGATCCTATACATTTGTAAATAAATCCGTGGAACACGTAGTTATCTTTTTTAAAATGAATAGGAGAAAATCCCACAATTGATTGGAAGGAAATTAAACAGCCAGATCCACTGTTGAAAGTATCAGACTTTATAATAATTGTTTCTCTGCCCACACAAATATGCAGCTTGGATAATTTTTGTCAATAGATGAATGAATAAGTAAATGTTTTTCGCCCATTTGTTTAATTGTGTGTACAGTAATTCTTATGTGGAGAACAGATCGTGTTTTAAGACAGGTTTATGCAGAAATATTGAAAATTCAAAAATATTCACAAACTTTTAAGCACTACTGTATTTCATTGACTTTCATATGGTTGATCTTTCCTTTCTTCTTGAAATGACCTAGTCACCCCAAACTGACACATAATTAGAATTCTTCACCAGTTTTGGAGAGCTTTTCTTTTCTTTCATTCTTTATTTGCCTCCACTTTACAGTCTTATGGTTTAAATATTGGGCATTGCTTACCAAGTGTTATATTAGTCTAAATAATAAAGATACGGGCATTATTCATTTCCTAGCTGGATTTCCATTGCCAAAAGCAGAATGTCATAAATCAGCTAAGATTTTTTGTTTATTTGTTTATGTGTATCCCATTTTTTTTGACAAATAACTCAAAGCAGCAAACATACCAGACACAGCTTCCTCCTCCTAATTTTGTCACAAAAACAACCCTGTGTGGTGGGTTGAGCTGACACAGAGAGACTGGCCCAAAGTGAATGTGGCTTCCCCCATTGATTTTGCTTGTTGGAAACCAGCTGAGAAGATCTTGTATCACTATCACACTACTACAGG